TTCTTTTTCTTTTTCTTTTTCTTTTTCTTTTTCTTTTTCTTTTTCTTTCTTTTTCATTACTATTAGATTTTCCTTTTCCTTGCATCCCGCTTATAGGTGCTTCTTGTGCCACTTCTCTACTTGCAAGCTTGCACATATCAGGTATTTCTGGGCCTGAAAGTGCCTCTCCTACTTGTCTGGATATTTTCCTGAAGGCACAAATGCAAAGGCAAAACTTTACATGCCATTTGCACTCCTCATGCAACAAATCACATGAGCCTGAGAGCAAAGAGTGTTTTCTGAAAGACTGTAGCTCTCAACAATCCTCTGGACCGTATAATGCACATCCCTGTCTATTTAAAAAGGGGGGAGGGGGAGAAGTAACCCCACACACACACACACACACACACACACACACACACACACACACACACACACAGAGTCATCTCTAAATAACTGGTTTTGCAATATAGGAACCAGACAATGTGCACATAGCAGACCTATTCAATCCAAAATATCCATCTCTCCAGATACTGCATATTTATAGTTATAGCTTTTATATAGCTTTCCCATTTATTTTAATAAAGGATTAAGAACTGATCAGAAAACTATCTAAACCATTCAAGGACTTTTTCCCCTCTTGGCTAAGAGCAGTTTGGTGTCTCCATAAGGACTCACCAGTAACTGACGCTTCAAGCTGCATTTCAGCTGCTTAGATGAGAAACAGCTTTCTATTTTGCTCTCTAGATGTGCATCTCTGTTGATTAGTTGTCTACTGCATTCCTAGAAGGTACTCACCAAACGCTGAGAGCTGCAGTGTAAGAATAGTTTCCCTGCTATTCCAGCACAGAGTGAGTGTATCTTTTTCACCTAGACACAGATGTGCAGGGAATCTTTTGATCTCCAGCTCTTCCCACAGAATTTAGTGTTTGGGTTTAAACAGAATGAGGATTAATTCAAAGGTCATGAAGAGGGTTTCCAGTGTCTGGCATACACACAAAGTATGAAAGCTCCAGTGAAGCTGGTTACCTGTGGCAGGCAAGGTCTAGGAATTGGGAATTTTGGCTTTGCTTGTCACGGGCTCTAACTTTGCCGGAGGGCAAGCTTGCTATGTGTGCTGAGGCTGGTTCTCGCAAACCACGGTCAAGATTTTCAATCCCTTTTGTTATATCCGAACTTGCTGGTCTCCCTCTTAAGACAAAACCTAAAGTCTCCTTTGCTTTTGCCTCTTAAATCAGATTTCCTGTAGCACCTTGCTTTTCTCCTTCACCACTTTCTTTCCAGGGACCCAAACAACAGCGTGAGGAGCAGGAGGAGAGGGGAACCTCAGGACTGAAGCAAACTATAGGGCAAGCAGGGGTGAGGGAAGGAGGAGGCACAATGGGAAAGGCAACATTTGGGATACATCTACCACTTACAAGACCCGCACCTCCTTCCCATTATACTTCTTTAAAGGACCCCCCCCTCCCCTCCCCGCCCTCTTAGGACCCCATTAGAAAATGTCAAATTTCTCTTACCGTGGTAGGAGTAACCATGGCATCCGTGTGAATGTTTCCAGAAAAGTCGACATGAAGAGAAAGGTGGATGTAAATATGTTCATTCAAAGTCCCAAAGTTGGTCTGCTTGGGTTGTGGAGAGTTGCTCTATGGGAGAGGAGCCTTAAACTCTGAGTCCTGTGAACATAATCTGCTCGATTATAACAAACCAGCTCAGCCAGATGGCTCTGTGCTTTGTGGATTAACCCCTTTATTGCCACACTTTGCTTTCCCGACCTACCATTTATAACAACCGTGCACGGCTGGGGAAATTCAGAGAATGAGGCATTTTTTTGAAAATGGCAATACTGTCATAAAGGTTCTTTTTCCCTCTGTGTGCTCTAAGAAAACATCCTGTGCCTTTTTTCCTTTTTTTTTTTTTCCCCAAATCCAATTGATGGCTTTATTCCTCTTCCTGGCAAAACCTCTTCATATTTTTAAGAACGTTATTAGCACCAGGGAACATTTTAGAGAATTCTTTTGTTAAATCACCACCATCCCTTCCAGATTGCGATTCTCAGCAGATGAGTATTTTATTGCAGGAATGTCTCTGCGTTTGCACTCTAATGGTCCATCCACTCCCCCCTTCCTGCCCCTCTGTCCCCCACGCTCCCTCTGTCTCCCACATGCACACACATGCACACGCTTTGCTCACACTGCCAGCATGTGCTGCTATTTCTACCTGTGTTCGCAAGTCACTGTAGGACATGTCAAGCAGGTGAAATAGAGACACAGAGCTACAGTGCCACAAACCCCTGCTCCCTTGCTCTGACTTCCCTTTTAATGTTTTTTTTTCCAGTTATTTGCAAATCTTTGACAAATTTATTTCTTCAGTCAGTATTTTTGTCAAGGAAGTCACCCGCCATGACACAAAAAGAAGTGCTGGGAGAAACACTCACTGTTAAGAACAGACTTTAGAATGGATTTGTGTACAGTTCCTCCTCTTTTGACTTTCAGATTTGTCCATTAAGGATGGCAAGTGCCAAAAACATGGAAAGTTCATCAGCAACCAGCAGCGACTGGTTCCCAAACTTTTTATTTAGAGAGATCACTCACAGAGATGGCTGATAAATTTAGCTGCATGCCTCTAAGTCTCTCTCTAAATTTACATGCTTAAGTCATCTTTCTTTTCTGTTTGATTTGAGCTTAATTGAGGGAGTCATAACCATAAGAACGTGGTCATATAAGATACGAGGTGACACTTTAAATCATAAGGGTCACCAAATTGTTTCCTTAAAGAATACTTTTACTAGCTCAATAAGTTTTTTCTGTTCCTGTTTAACCATGGACTTTTTTGTCTTTGCCTTCCCTGTTTGAAGATAATTAGCCCTCTACTGCTAGCAAAGCTTTGTACCATCTCCTTTAAGACATTTTAATCTACCTGGAAAGTTGTCACAGTTTTATTGAAATATTTACCACCATAGATTGAAATAAGATGGTTCTTAGTTGCAATTGTCCTTTCTCTGGAATTTTTCAAGCATAAAGTGATCCCATTTAGAGGATTCTGCAATTTAAATGGTCCTGTTGAGGGGATTCCACAATTTGTGTCTGTCTCACAAGTTCCGCCTTTCTCACCCAGATGGAGAACAAAAGTCATCTTCCACCACCACCTCCTAAGAATTCTATACTAAAACTTGCTGCTCTGCCAATTTAAAAAAAAGGCAAACCAAACAAAAAAAAACCAACCCCCCCTCCCACTAAATAAACCAACAAACAAAACCCCAAACCTCCTCAAACTTGTATAACTCTAGTTCCAATGGTTTTTGTCTCTCCCTGTTCCTGAATGCTGTTTCCATCTGATTTAGAGCTTTTTCAGCTAAGATGAGGGAACTCGAGTTAAATCCTGTGCATCCCCCACCCAGCCCAAGCACTGCATTCAGATCTGAGAAATACCTAAAATGTGACTCAGCTTTTAATCTACTGAAGTAGACAAACAGTGCTAGTAATAGAAAACCGTCCTGTGGCTGGTGAACAAACGTTCCTCTGAAGGTAGGCAAAGGGTTAAGCCTCTGAAGGCAGCCCTAGCCCGGGAACTTCACATTTGCAGTAGCGAAAAAAAAAAAAAAAAACCACAGAAAAAAGGGAAAAAAAAGCAGCAAAAGAAGAAGTCTAGAAGAAAATAGAAGCAAATGACCTGGGCAGAAGGGCTGCCTACCTCTGATGGGAGGCAATCCTCCCAAAGCTTGCACAAGTGGAGGGGTTTTGCCCTCTGTCTGGGTCTGTGGGCAATCAGACGCCTTGTAATTTGAGATGTGACACCTTAATCTTGCCAAATATGTGTGCACTGCAAAAAGCATTGTAGACAGCCTGTTTTCCCAGCTAGGGAAAATGGAGACTTGTTTGGTCCTTACCGTTTTCCAACCTTTCCCCTACAGATGTTTCTGTTGTTCTGAAGCTGATTCTTTCTAGGTATTTCTATGTCTTCAGCTGTTATTCTGGGTGTGGGGTGGTTGCTTCCCTCATGTTAACCCTTAGAATAGGTGGGTTTCTTTCACACTTTAAGCAGGTTTCTGAATTCTTAATAAGAAGCAATCCAGCTCCCAAATGGTCACCTTATTTTATCTGTCACCCTTGGATCTGAGGTTCTGAAAAAAAAAAAGTTAAAAATAAAAAAAAAATTAAAAATAATTAAAATATTACTTTGAACAAGTCCCTGTTCTGTCTTGAAGAATCTGAAACATTGCTCAAAGCATGCTGGAGAAAGTAACCTTTGAATTCTGGGGATTTTAATTGGGATAATTACAAGACATTGATCTGATTAATTAGGCACTTGACCAGACTTCAAAACATGTGATATTTTATATACTTTGAAGACATGCATTTTTCTCTACATATTAACAAATACCACCGTGATTTCATTTGATGATAAAAAATTGAATATTTATGGGGAAGATATGCGTATGAGCATGCAAATACATGAACATTTTATGGGGTTTAATGCATACCTTGGGTTATTCTAAAAGCAGGGAGCATGTTCTATAATGGTTAGCTTTTGCAACAGCACCACTTCGTGGTTGAATTCCCAAACAGATCCGAAAAAGGGGCTGTAGGAACTGTAGGGACACTACCTGTGCCTCAGCAAGTCTGAGCAGTTCCCATGGTGGTTGGTTTTAATATCCTTTGACAAAACCACTTACCTGGGATGGAAATGTGTTCCAGCCATATGGTCCTCTCTTTTTCAAGATGGTGGGTTTAAAGTAAAGGCTAAGGAAGAAGTGGGAGGAGAAGATTAGCTCTGAGCATTTTGACCAACTGACAATTTCAGTATAGGAGGCTGTTCACCTTTCAAATGCCAAAATCACTTTGGTTCTAATTTTCAGAATTTTATAAAGGGACTGACAACATCTCTAGAAATTTTTTTTGTACTTGAAATGTGCTGCAAATGTTTTCTTGGAAGTAAAAAGGAATCCAACTATCTTTTTATTTGGTGGAAATGGTGGTGGGAAAGAATAGAAATTATTTATTTAAACATTATTTAAATATTGTTTGAAGAATACCAATGGTGCCATTTCAGAGCTGAAGAAATTTCTGAAACCTCATTGGCATCCTCACTTGCACCCAGGCTAGGCAAATGAGAAGTATTAGAAAGAATTTCCAAGCATGATTCACAAAGAACTTCAAGCTTAGTTTTGTTACACATTTCTTGGAAAGTTGTCTTCTGCAGCTTTCCCTCTTTCTTAAAAATAGTTAGGACAACTCATAACAATTAACATAGTAGATCAAAGATGTCACAGTGTAAAATGTGTACCCAGAGCTGTAGGCATGCCAGGAGGGAGGATGGGAATAATGCGCGTAAATAAGCAGGAATTCTGGCCACACCCTGTAAACCATTATTCTTCAGAGCTTTTTCTAAAAAAAAGGCATTTTACAGAATCAGCTTTTATGCAATTCACCTTCAAACTTCTTTTCTTGGCAGAGAATTAGCAAAGTGAGATTAAATGAGATTATAATAATAATAATATTAATTAAAATAACATCCAGATGCACTAAAATGCACCTAGTAAGTACAACAACAGTAACTTTCTTGTGTGAAAGATTTTACACACGAGCAGCATGGCAGTACTCAAACCGAAATTTTAATTGTTTTACAAATAGTTTTCATTTAAAAGGAAATATATTGATCTGTACTCCTATATCAAAATAAAACTATATCTTAAGTGATATACAAAAAGGGATTTACACTCTCCAATATGTAGCTGTGTTTTGGCAGTACAGTTATGGATGATTACAAGTCTCTCGAATGTACTAATGTGTTACATCACTTATCAGCTTAGCTCATATTTTAGATTTACATAATATTTGTCTTTTTCTGTTGCTATCCTTTTATTTTTCAGAGATGGTCTTTGTTGCAGGAATAATTCAGAAACAACGTTAGTTGATGATAGGCAACATTTTGGGGAAAAAATACATTCCTTGTAATTATAAAATACTTTGAACCCCTACTCATTTTTTATAATTCCAAGTGAGCTGAAGAGGACTTGCATGAGTATCAGTAAGAAAAATGCTGAGGAAAAAAATCAAATTAAAACCATATGAAGAGGTTTGGTTCCATTACTTATGCTACAACTGGGAAAAGGTGCCTGAAGTTTTTAATGATGGAGGAAGAGGAGGATTTGGAGTCACAGCACCATTCTTTTGTGAAGAAGATAAATTCCAAACTGGAACATATAAGGAGATACATAAAGTGCTTGGTAAGATGTCAGCTGGGATGCTAGGACTCAGTTCTGACCATGTTCAAGTCAGAGAAGATCTGGAAAATGACAGAAGAAATGATAAAATGTCTCATGTAGTTTAAAATATGGTGGAAAACCCCAACCAAGTAAAGAAATCAGTGAGGACTCACAAGGCTGTAATGGATCCTCGCCAGGGCAAGCACAGGTCGAGGTGTTCTCTGTCCCCCCATTTCTGCTATGACTTAAACCACCACAGAAAGCAAATATGTTCAGGAACACCTTGTACTCAGGACGCTGGCATAGCTTTTGAAGAAAACTTCCCAGTGAAAGCCTTCAGGAAATTTCCACTGCATATTCATATGACTTGTTTTGGGACACTTAATGTCTTTATTATGGGGAAATTTTCCCACAGGGAGGTCACCACCACAGTACTGGTTTTCTCTCCTGGACTGGTGCTTCTGCACCTTTCAGGTGCAGTGGAACTGTAATAGCTGGAGCCAGTTGAAGGAGGATGAAAGAAATGACAACAAATTTATGTTTTTAAAAATAAAGATAAAAATAAATATAAGTCAAGCAGTTCCAAG